AAAAAATCAACATAACCAGAATTTACCTGCTCATTTTTATTTTCGGATTCAAAATGCTAGAAAAAATACCTTTCAGTACGAACGCTCTGCGCGCGAAATCTTGCTTAAATATGTAGATGCATTCATCGAATTTTTGGGGTCAATTCGGTGGGCGTAGATTGCGTTGTTTTTATTTATAGCATGTACTGCACCGTGCATTGATAAAAAGTATGATCATAACTCGTTTTATAAGAGAAAGAAAGAACTCATCAAACTATAGCATCTCATTTTGTTTAAGTCTTATAAATCTCATAATAGTTAATAACAATATAAAAAAAAATTATTGTAAAAAGAAAGACGATAGTTGCGGATAGATCATCCGTGCATTTTTTTCGAGAACAACTCCATGCGTCCATCGGTCACGATCTAACGTTACCAGATTAATGATATTTTGTGTATTTGGCGATTCGCAACCTGGCAGCTATCTCGTGGGCATGATGTAAATACCGGGGAACGTTTTCTATTAAACAACTCAACTAAGGGTCATTGAGCCCATCGACCCTATTTATGATATAGGGATGATTTTAAATGATGAAAATGATGAACACAAGTAGCTAATGCGGTGAAATAACACCCAATTAATAAATACGGTAAGGTCGGTTGAGGAAAGTACGAAACCAAACCTTCGCACGTTATTTTAAGAACCCAATACTATTTTAAGCCATCACGCCATCACAAGTAATGAAACACATCACACTTTGGGCAGAATTGATAGGATACTGTATATTGTCGGCAGGTTTTCCACCAAAGAGTTGCCTGAACAACTGGAGAATCAGTTGCCAAAACACTGTCGTAAATAATATGTGTATTTTAATAATACAATTTTAGGCATTGTGAAAGCCGAAAAAATTGGAATTCAACAAGCATGCGTATAGTGTACAATGAGTACTTGATTTCAAGAATTCCTTTACTTTCACAAGTGTACAGGTTGGTTCGTGCATCTGCATTTTGGTTTCTGAGATTACCCGAAGGAGATGGTCTCGGATAAATTCTTCCGAGTTTTCCGAGACGCATACGTATGCACGTGCATCTACTTTGCAATATTAAAACATCGAAGACAGTGAACAATGCACAAAAAAAAAATTTTTTTTTTTTTGTCGGACGGTCAACCGCAAAAGTAACGCCCGATTTTCACGCTTATTATTTACATATGAAAATCTCGCGTTCGACTGTACGTGACATTCAGTTCAACGGTTCAATGCGCTAAAATAAATAACGGCAAAATTTGTGCACCAAAGTCGGTTAAATTTTAGAGCCGCTCTATTTTTACGTACAATGTTGTGCATGCCCTATTGCGGGTAGTCGACCCTGCATGTCATACGAGAAAATTTGGCGAACATAGGCGAATAAAAGCAAGCATTACCTTACACGACCACAAGAATGTTAACTCTAACTCTGGAATCTGCCCCTAAATTTTTAATTAACGTTTGCCTTATCTGAACGAATTCATTTTAACATTATATTTAATGCTCTCATAAACCTTTTGAATGTCTCATAATTCCAAACCAGACCACATGACTGAAGAGGTCATTACAGTCGCTTCTTCCGAAACAGTTTCTAAAGTGAACGAATCAGTAGCAGTGTCTAGTGGTGCGCAAGAAAATGAAAGAAACGTAGGCGATGGTGATCTCGAAAAAAGAACAAGAAACAACGGAGATGTAAAAGTAGTTGAGATGCACAAAACCCAAGTGATTCTAGTTTTTGTAGGGTATTTATTATAAAAAGGCAACCCTTTATCATAAATACGAATTCGGGCTAATCAGATTCATTTAAAACGTTCATCAGTCTTTGTTTTGGCATGTTCTTGGCAGCATTGGATCAGACAATTGTTGCAACTGCACTGGTAAGTAATTCCTTTATTTTTTGTTGTCGTTTTTTTTTTCCTTTAATAAAATCTTTGACGGCTAACATGCGATGAATTCGTTTCAGCCCGCTATTGCACTCGAATTCCAAGCACTTGACAAGATCGAATGGGTTGGAACCGCATATCTACTCACAGTGGTACAAATCGGTTCTGACTGGGCTTACTCAAAATTCATTGTATATTCACCTCGATCTGATTTCAATTTAGACCGCTTTCCAACCGACATACGGGAAAATCTCGGACATTTTCGGGAGAAAATTTACGTTTTTATTAGCAGTTATACTCTTTGAAATTGGTTCTTTGTTATGTGGTCTTTCGAAAACTATGGTACGTAATGTCAAATTATTTTTTAGCTACCCGACGTTTCTGTTAACACGCAGTATCTTTCTACTTAAAAGACGATGATGATTATTTCACGCGCTGTTGCCGGTCTAGGTGCAGGTGGCATTGTGGGGTAGGCATATAGTACTCGTAATCTTAACCAACTACATTCACTTCACCTTTAATTAGAACTTATTGTTCCGATTTTCTTTTAGCCTAGTTTTGATCATCATAACCGATATCGTTAGTTTACAAGATCGCGGAAAATTTCAAGGTATTATATGAATTTCTATTCGGTTAATTATAAAATAAGAAACAACTCTTCTAAATATACGTGTATTTTAGGGATGATTGGTGGATGGTATGAGTTGTTTGTTCATCTGGGGTTTTTTTTTTTTTTTTTTTTCTCGAATGCGCTTTAATTTTTAATTTCGAAATCACAAACCAGCTACGGTATCGCTTCGGGTAAGAGTTTTCTCTGATGCATTGATTTCATGATTTCTATTTATTTATTTATTTATTGTACCTTTATTGCAAAAAAAAATTCGTGTTCCAGTTGTCGGACCTATCCTAGGAGGAGTTTTTGTAGATAAAGTGACCTGGAGGTTTTTATTCAAACTAACTTTATTTTTCTTCCGCGCGATTTTACTTTGCGCAAAAATAACTTCTCTGTATGTGATCAAAAATCATAGATGGGCATTTTACATCAATCTTCCCTTTGGTGCCATAACTGTTATTGTTTGCATATTATTTCTTCATCTTCCTCGACCCACCGGATCTCTTTTTGACAAATTAAAGCGTATTGACTGGTTGGGGACCTTTATTATTGCTGTTTCCTCGGTCTTACTTCTGCTTGCGCTAAGCTGGGGTGGCAATGATTACGCATGGAATTCCGCCGTAATTATTGTTTTGATCATTATTGGAGGAATCGGATTTATCTTATTTGGATTTGTGGAAACATACGTTTCCTCTGAACCTTTGGCTCCTGGTGAGCACTCGACGCATGGTATTCAAGGTTTCTTTGATAAATTTCCTACGATCTAAACAACATTTCTGCTCCAGCTCGATTGTTTAAGCACCGCACTGTGGTATCTTCTTTGCTTGTAAATTTGTTCCATGGAATGGCTTTTTTCGCACTTGTTTATTTTATTCCTTTGTTTTACCAAGTCGTTAATGGAGATTCTGGTAATTTTCATCATCACCATCATCATCGTAAACTAATGATTCACATACTGCACTTTTGAAAATATTCCTAAAAAATACAATTCATTTCACGACTAGCAACCGAATCTGGTCTTAAACTTCTTCCATTGGTCCTTTCTGTTGTGTTCATGGCCATTTTCTCAGGACAACTCATCTCGAGGTCCTCAAAATTTTCATACAAAATGATTTGTTTATTTGGTGGCATATTGATCACAGTAGGAACGGGATTGGTGAGCACCATCGATGAATTCTCAAATCGTGGCCAACAAATTGGATATCTAATTATTTCTGGAATTGGGATTGGTTCGATTCTTCAAACAACTTTGCTGGCCGGACAACAGGTTGTAAATTATGAAGATGTCGCGTCAGTGACAAGCTTGCTGGCTTTCACTAGAACATGTAAGATGCAAATTTATTACGTAAGCTTTTTCGCACTACAAAAACCACTCGCTTACTTGGCTTTTATTTCCGCATTAAAAAGTCGGTGCTGCGTTCGGTCTTGCCATCATTGGGTCGGTTTTCAACAATGAGCTTTCCAAAAATCTGGATTCTATCAGAAATCAATTATCCCAATACCATTTGCCAAATTTGACGTCATCAAATCTTAATTTCGTGCTATCTTCTAACCCTTTTGTTCGTCAACATCCGGACTTGATGTCACTCATAATCAATCAATTTACGAAAGCTTTGGATACGTCGTTTAAAGTGGCTATTGCGTTCGGAATTTTGGTGTTTCTAACATCCTTACTGATGGGCAATGAAAAGCCTGGCGTTAGTAAAAAGGGTGATGAAAATGGTGCATCGACGGTCGTATAGTACCCCACCGGGTTTTGTTTAATTACCATTAATATCTGCTATTTTGATATAACAAAACAAGTGCTTGTTATTAATTGTACATCATGACTTTGGATTACAGGACATATGCACTTTATTTGTAATATATACATTGGAAATGTGTGCGTGTTTTATTTTTGATAGTAATGTGGTCGGATTTATTTTAAGAAATATGACTTACACTTATTTATAATTGACAAGTAATATCATAAAATAAAACTAGATAATTTATGTCTTCCATTAAAAAATTCGCATACTATATTTCACATTTTGATCGCAAAACTTATTATACTTGAAAAAATGATTTTAAAGTTTTTTCAAAGAAAAAAATTATTTATTTTATAACACACATCTCACTTGATTTTCATAATAAATCTGATAGAAATTATATTAATTTGTAATTGAAGTAATTTGAGATTAGATTTTATTCTTATTCTTATTTTTATTAATTCACGATCAAGGAATAATGGCATGTAGCCTTTGTTGATCAAAAAACCAATGCACAGGATATCAAAACGAATCTAATTACAATGACACAGTTATAAACTTAAGTCATCCGAAAATTTAAAAAGTTTTCGAATATATCACTAAACTTGCTTAATCGAGGAAACAATATTTCACTTCTTCACAAATTTAAATTTTGATTCTAATTTATAAAATACTTGTTGATGATTTAAAAATCAATTATCTTGCTAATTAATGAATCGCTAAAGTTAAATTATATAAAAAATAGAAAATTATAATAAAAAAATTTTTTTAAAAAATACATAAATACCTATTATATTATAAAGAAAATAAAATTTAAATTTTTAAAATTATTTTTTAAAACTCTTTCCGCTGATCCACTGACCAGCTTTCTTAAAGTACTTATTGTTTTTCATGATTTTTTTTAAAAAATTTTGCTTATTCCAATTTGATTCAAGATTTTTGATAACACAATATTACCTAATATCTGATTGGTTGATATAAAATACATTAGTAGCAAAATGTAAACAAGCTCTCATTAATTATATTCATATGTTTCAATAATATCATTGGCAAAGAAAATAAACTATTAATAAAAACTCCTTCATTCTTTAAAAATAAAGTGTAATTGAAGCAAAAAAACCATAAGATTATTGAAATAGCTATCAAATTTCTTAAGTATTGAAAGATAATTATTTGTTTAAACTAAAACTTTCAATTTCTTATTATTTCAATCAAAGTATATAAAGAAAGTTATTTCCTTATTTTAATTAAATTTTAAGATTGAAAAATACAAAATTGTAAATCATTGTCTTCTTTAGATTGAGAATATATTTCTTTAAACATTATATAATAATATTAAATTAACAAGGATTCCTATTATTTTTTGAGATTCTTATACTATTATAAGATAAAAAGATTGTTAGAAAATTTATCTTTTTAAATAATATTTATTAGTAAAATGTTTTAATTAGATATAGCTACTAAAAGATATCAAAAGTTATAAAACATAACTATAAAATACAAATCAAGTATAATTATAAAAAATTCATAGAATTTTTAAAAGAACTAAATTATAAGAAAAAAAAAAACTATAAATAAAATTATTAATAAATGAATTTATCATAAAATCAAGTAGTTTGATTTTTAATTACAAAAATAATTTAAAATAATCTACTATAATAACTTATAAATAATAATTTTACTAATTAAAGAACTTATTCAAATTAACAAAGGAACAAAATAATATACTAGTCAAAATAATATCATTCAGCAGCTGAATTATTGCTAAATTTGATTAAATTTAACAATAAAAATATTATTGAATTCTTTTTGATTGCTACCACTTAGTATATTATTATTTCGACAATAAAGTGGCAATCAAAAATTTAGCAATTAAAAATTTAGCAATCAAAAACTTGACAATTAAAAATTTGATAATCAAAAAATTCAACAATTAAAAATTTATTAATTAAAAGTTTAACAATAAATTGTCAAAAAATTCATTAATAATTTGTCAAATAATTCATTAACTATTTAGTAAAAATTCATTAAAAGTTTATCACACAAAAATTTATAAAACTTGTAAAAAAATCATAATAATACACAATTAATTAAATTAGAATAATTTTATTTTTTTTAATTCACAATAATGCTGTTTTGATATACTGTATCTTTATTAAGATATTGAGAAATACCAAAATATTTACAAACTTTTTAACAAAGCTGTTATATATTATTAGTTAAAGAACTACATTACTTAAAAAATATAAGGAGTCTATTAAGCTAATTTGGATTAAACAAAACTAAGTCTAAACTAGATACTCTAAGTCAGATTTAAGAGATAATATTACACTCTTCTGATAGTTTGACATAGTGACTCTAAGTCTACCAAGGTCATTGCCAACAGTTTATCACTATTGATTATCTTGAAAAATGATGAATTGCTAAAGTATAACATTGAGAAAGAGGAAAAAAAAAATACAATTCAAAGTCTTCCAAAAGATTCTTATTCTATTTCACAGTTTCCTCTTAAAAGGATTTACCTGATTAAAATATTTTCTAAGCTTCTTGATATTTGAGGAACTTAATCATTTCTAAAAGTAACTTCAAGAAGAATATTTGAAAAACTTATCTTTTGGCTGATATATAAATTCACTTATTACTACTAAAATCACACTATATTATAGAAAAGTTTGACTAATCAGGATAAAGAAATCTTTTCAAGAACTTTGTCTAACTGGGATAGAGCTTGGAGACCTTAGCTTTTATTCAAAAAAATCTTTTCACCACTTGAGAAACTTAATAAGAAATGGAAATCAGATCTGTTTGCTTATCCATCACTTGCCTTTCAATATCATAATTGTTTTCTGAAAGTTGAATATATACAGTTGGAGGGAATACTTTTTCTAGAACTTTTTTTCCTATATCACTAATAATGTAATAAGACATATGAGTATGACCAATAGAAGCTTTTTTATATTTCAAAAACTAACATGTTTCATATTAGCCAATCACCTTTGGTGAAAAACTTTGTATTACCAAAAATTCAAAGTAAACTGAGATAGGCAAAATTCTCCAGAAAACTATGAAAGTGGGAACTTTAAGAGGGTCAAGACAGTCAAAAAGAGAGAAAATAAGTCTTTTTACTGCAAAAAACCTCTATAAACCTCTCACTTCAAAGATCAGATAGATCTTCAGGTACTTTACAATCAGTTCTTCTTCTTTTGAAAACTTTTTTACTATTGATATCAAAGATATTACTTGACTTTTCTTAATTACTAGAAGTCAAATTTTTGAGTAAATAGATTTATAGACAATAAGAAAAGGGTAGTAGTAACTCTTGAAGTAATACTTCAAGTTGTTTTAAGGAAAGTGTTAAGACTTTATTAGCAAAAAAGTATAAAAACTTCTTGCAAACATCTTTTTTATATATGGTCAGAGAATTAGTGAATAGAGCTTTTAATTAAATTAGAATAATATAAATGACATATTATATATTATATTATAGTTTGTATTATTCATAATTTATAAATATATCCTCAGAAAAAAAAAAAAAAAAAAAAACTCTTTTCCACTTCTAACAAAATTTGTGAAAATTTCCTTTTATAATTACAACTCAAAGTGCACAAGAAAAAATCCAATGCTCTCAAAGAGCCTCTATAACAAATATATTCAGAAGGTCTTCTAGAGTTAAAAACATGGCCATGAACTATACTAGTAAAAGAATTATTACTGGTAGTGACAAAATCACAAAACTGTTCCTGAAGATCAAACTGTCAAGCAAATTCAATCCACTCACTTGTATCAAGAGAAACAAGATAGCAACAAAAAAGAAGAAGGAGATTGCAACCTCTTAAAACATACAGGACCTTATCCAAGATCAAAAAGAAAGTATGAAGCTTGAGAATATAGAATATGACAACAGTATAAATCTTAAGAAGGATACCACTATAATCATCAAAGTGGTAGAAAAGATAAATATGGAGTCAAAATCACTATCACCTATGATAATAGTATCAACAACAACAACAGTAGCCAAGAAAAAAAAAGAGGTCACAAACAACTCTGAAAACATCATTAATAACAAGTTCAGTTATAAAAAGAAACAAAAGCCTAGAACCCTAGGAGCAAAACAGTCATACATCCAAAGACTCAAGGATACATTTTGTTCAGGCAAAGTTTTCATAAATCCAGAAGGGATATTGGGTACCTTAACACATGAAAAAATTGATTTTATTCATAGCAAACTGGGATATCTAATAATCCTGAAGCATGCAAGTACAGAGGAATCAACAGGCTCACAAATGATCATGATATTATTTAACAATTACTACAAGGCTCTATTAATATGCAAGATTAGGATCACCAACAAGAAAACTATTAAATTTAGACTAGCATCACAGATTGGCACACCTGAATGTAGAGCCCGATCCATCAGGATCTGGAACATCCCCAACTATTTCACAAAAAGGGATATAGTCAATTTATTTGTAGACAAAACAGTTATAGGACACATTTTACTCCAACCAGCTGATACTGTCCAATTGAAAATCTTACAATTTAATTCAACAGAAGTATTTGAAGAGCAGGCCAAAGCATGGGCCCTCTACAAGGAAAACTACTGTATGAGAATATACCCAATGATCAAGACTTGAATTATAAAAAAAAAAAGGAACCAATATAGTGCAACATTAGTCAACTTTTCACAAGGGACATTAGCAAAAGAGTTGAAAGAAATCATCGAATAGACATATGCTACTTTTTCCTAAATCAACTTAAACAGAACAAATGTTTTGTTATTCTATACTTCAAAGACACACAAGATCTAGACAAGGCAAGGAACACCTCCCTGTAATTAAAAGATATAGAACTAATATGGATTGCAAGATCAATGAAACTTTGCTTCAAATGCAAGATACAGAAATACAACTTAAATGCATATATCATAGTAAAGAAGGACTTAACACAGAGGAATAGAATCAACAGACTTGGCTAATCAAGACTTTTCTCTTCTC